CAGAAGTTGGCAGACCTTTACAAGGGAGTAGAAGGACACGTCTGGACCAAAGCTGTGGGAAAGCTTCTTGTCCAAACATCTGGTGGCTAAGCTGTTCATTTCTATTATTCAAGACTCTCTGTGTTATCTTAAAATTTTATTATGTTACATTGTATTTTTAGACAAAATGTCTTAGTTTTGGCTGTCTCATATCTTAGGATAACTGATTTGTGGTCAAGAAGGGAACACACACTGCGTGTATTAGCTTTTGAAGATGTATCATATTTACCTTTATCCAACCTTTATAGTCAGTTCTTGTCAACACATAAAAATACAATGACCAAAAAAACAAACGCATTCCACTCAGCTTTTTTCCTCCTTGCACGAGGCAGCTCATAGCTCCTGAAGTGGTCCTATCGGAGCTGGTCCTCTGTGAAAAATTAATTTAAGCTGGAAACCGGTCCTATAATTGTTACTGAAAATGCAAACATGGCACACGGGGAAAGGCACTTGGCCCAGGCTTGATTAATGATCTCAATCTTTACTTTTAATGCTTTGTCAATATCCCAACTTTTCCTCGAAAAACAAACAACGCTTGTGATTAAACTGCGATTAATCTGATTTAGGTTGAGTCTAAGGCCATCTAAGGACAATACTGCTGGAGCTCTGTTTAGGTGACTTGTTAATAATAATGCAAGCTTCCAGATGTATTCAATTTCACTGCCTTTTATTTATTTTCACAGTCTTAATTTTACAAAAAACAAACAAGGCTACTTCCAGCTTGAGAAGATGAAAACAAATGTATTTGATCTAAATCACGCAATCTGCGATTAAAAAAAAAGAAAAAGAGTATTTAAAAAGCCAAACAGCTGATGTTACGACATAGTGAATTCTTCAGGAAGGATGAGCTTGCAAAGCAGGAATGAAATAAGTTTTTGGGCTAAGTTGCAAAGCATTCAAAAGAATAAAAAGTATTTTTCCAGCCCATTAATTGTAAATGCAGTGCCTTGAGTCATATTAATTTGCAGTGTGAAATCTGCAAACCAGCCTCATATAGGACAAGATGGGCATAATGAAGAACTTTTGTTTACAAGTTGGATAGAATTCTAGAATATTTATCTAAAAAGATTGCCAAGTCATCTTTTAATGAATAAAATTAACTTCTAACTGTTCCCCATTTATTTACTAATTGGAAACAACCCACGTTTAGGCTTTGGAGTTTTCCTAAGCACTGTTTTTTAATGCATTGCAGTTTTAGAGCAAATGTTTGGATTGTCACATTCTATTACCAAATTCAACGAGCATCAGTGCTTGCAGGCCTGCTTTTGGCTATTGTGTTTGATCGTGTACACTTATGAATCATTGTAACCTTGAATAGACTGCAGGGACAGGAACTCCCTAGAATCAGTCCTTTTTTTTCCTCTCTAGTTTTTTTTTCAACCAGGTAATAGTTGCTAAAACAATATGACATTGAGCACTTATTTTCAGTCAGGGATGGGTGATCAAAGATTTATTTTTATGAAAAATATAAACAGTTTTGATTGCAAACAGCATTTTTTCTATTATTTTCTGAAAAGTTGGAGTATCTGCTGGACTTTTCATACTTTCCATACTTTTTCAAGGCTGAGGTCACAGTCAGTCGTTGAGTTTGTCAAAGATATTAAGAAAGGTTGAATGAAGAGTTGCTTAGAACAATTTTAACACAGAGCAAGTGAAATACATCATTATCTTTACGCCAGGATCATGTGACCACAGAATGGTGCTTCTGATAGCACCGTCCTGTCCTATTGGTCACAGCTAAACATTATCTGAATCTTTTCCCCACATTCTGAAATAAAGTATTTTGGACTTAATAAAGACTAAATTGACCATGGTTATTGGGATGTTTGAATGTTTTTTTAAATGCCTCTGTACTATAGAAAGTCAAATTTTCTTTTTTATTTACTGTTTGCTTTCTCCTTCGAGGTCACGCTGCTTTACAGTGAAGATATGTAAAATACACAGCCTCCCTTCAACCATTATTTCAAGATTAACAAGGTTCCATTTTACAGGCTTACTGTATTTCATTTATTTTTTAGCTATTTAATTATGAGAGCTGTTTCTGTTTTTTTTTTTGTGTGTTTGTTGTTTTTTTTACTGTCTGGACATGAAATATAAGATATATAATCGTACTTTATTTTTGGGAAAAGCTTAATGCCATATATGATGCCAATATGATAATATTGATATATAATATGATAATAATAACAATAATAATAATAATAATAGAACTTTATTGATCTCACACTGGAGAAATGAACTCTCTGCATTTAACCTACCTAAGTATGTGTGTGTATATATATATATATA